TTGAGTGAGTGTCATATTACGTTTCAAGTGGAGCATAGGGCTTCAAATTAGAGGCTTGAAGTTTCTGTAGCAGTGGTGATTCTTTCCAGAGGATGCGTTTGTTAGTCTCATGTCCAACCTTCCCTCTTTATCAGCCTTACTACTGGCTTAGCGAGGTAAAAGAGTGAGTCAGTGGCCGGGTATCGAACCTCGGACCACCTTTCGTGATCGGCGAGCACTCTACTGCTGTGCCACCGACACACGAGTTTCAAACGACCTTTCAGAACAACCACAGTAACAAGGTCAATCTTAGGGTGGTCAGGAGTGTTACCAAACTACTGATTTCATTCAGTTAGCAGTATATAACATGAATGAGAAAATATATGCATTCATCATAAAACGTATACATGAATGCTGAATTTTCCTGTATCTGGAAATGTGTACAGTACACAACTCACCATGAACGCGTGAAGAGAATCGTGTCATCAACAAAATTGCCAACGACAAAAGCTTCACCACCAATAACCAATTTCTTTTCTTGCTCTGATCCTTAGATAGTCAAGGAAATGTAGAGGATTAGTTTGTGGTCACATATTTTTGAGGTCAGTATGAAACAAGCCTATTTCTCATAAATATAAATCAAGTGAATGAGGTATATGTTTGAATAAATATGTTGTGATTTGCAGAAAGATACCACACAACTCTTTGTTATGGTAGGAATAAGTAACTGACAGCAGCTATTAGCAAATAAATGATCTAGTCAGCTTGTAACGACAGAAGACAAGCGCCAGGCCACAGATCATTTATTGAGAAAGTCAAGAGATATTGCAAGATTTTCATGTACCTTATTATTCGTTATTGTTAGTAGAGAAGCAACGTCTCCTGATTGGTTGTTTTCCTGCTGAAGGTTATTCTGTTGGCGTTTCATAGACAGTCTGGTCATATATCAGCGAATTGTATCTACCCACGCTAAGTCTGCTTTGATTAGTTGTTGAGTTCCTCAAGGTCAAGCTTTGTCCTTGTTTTTTCTCATGACCCCGATTTAGGACGTAAACATTGACGTCAATTGTTGTCTACAATTTTGTCTTGCAGACAGCTCTCACCACGAACTGATCAACTTTACAATTATTGGGTGATTAACGTGTAATGTGAAATGCACCAAGGATCGCAAATTGTGACGTAACTTGTTTCAGTAGCCATACAATTTACTGCATATCAGTAGTAAAAACCCGTGGATGACGGCCATACAGGCAGATGTACTCACTTATGAACAACATTCTACTCGAGATCATGATAATTAGGGTGCATAGATTGTCAATATCATCAGTGATTTGTCATAGTTTCACTGATGAGTAGACAATATCAGTGTACTTCTAAGAAGTTTGAGTCTTTATTGAATTTCCTTATCGTTCACAGGCTGTTCACTAGCCGGCCTCAAACCACGAAAAGAGATAAGGTTGGACGTCAGTCAGACTAGCGATTCTTGACAGCAAACAACAACGTCGATTCTGAAGCTACAGAGCACAGAGGGAAGTAATGCTTCTCAGTTTGACGATGAATGACACTAGCGAGTGAAAGCCTATACGTCGATGTACATTCTTGCTTTTACTTCACAGTTTTAACTAGAGCAGAACAGGATGCAGCTAAGATAGTGGGGAAGTTAACTGCAGTCCACCTTTATTAACAGCCGTAATGTGATACAAAGATGAAGTGAGAAGTCACAGAAGATACTCAAAATAGAAACATGATTCACATGGGTGATTGGATCTTACCTGAGAAGTCTCTTGGATCACACATGTAGTATGGGTACCAATGCTCCACATAATTATTGGCAAAGATACGAAAACATGAGGAAAGTATAACTCGATAGCCGGCTGATGTTATGTTCTTGACACGCTCTTGCCTTATCCAATCCTTCCATACTTGGAACACAGTATTTTTCTCCTTCGTTGGCTAAATGAGAAAATTTCGATAATTGATTAGGATGAAAATAAATTTTGAATTTAATTTGATTGGTTCATTTTCAAACATATGATGACAACGTTATTTCAATTCAAGACAATGTAGTGGAGATAGAGCAGATCTGCACCCTTCTCTCTCTTACTTACTTACATATATATTTTTAAAAAGCAGAGATATTTAATGTTTTACTCAGGAGTGAATGCCACTCAGTGCTTTCAACATCTTCCGAGTCCCAATAAAATGGAAAAGATCTTTTGTACTCTTTGAACCATTAAAGTCCTCAGTTCTGTGCAAAATAAAGACGAGATGGGCAGCCTATTCAACACTTCGTCCAGTAAAAGGGGACGTATGCCTCTGTGATTCTCAATGCTCTCATCCTGCAGATGTTAACAATAAGGGAACTAAGAGTAATCGAATAGGCATAGATCCAACAATCTTTAGAGTTTCGTGTGAAGAGACTGTTTTTGCGAGCCAAAGGAAACGGTTGGAAGAAGAAGCATCCAGAGATGATAGGCCTTCAGGTGAACATAGAGGAAAGAGAGGTAGGTGACGAAGATTCCTGACCAACAGCAACAAAAACAACAACAGACAACAATCAGCCAGCATAAATGGGAGAAATCTGAAAAGGAGTAACCTCCTTTACCTACCACTTAGCTGGGAAGCCTCGTTTCAACTAGAGGCAGACGGTACTCATGGGGATTTCATTAAAGCGAGGACCGAAAAAGCAAGGCAAGCTTTCATTTCACTCAAGTCTGAGTGAAGGTCAACAGCATGAAAAACAACATCCGGATTTCAAACTCCAATTTGAAGTCAGTCAATGCTACTATACGGATCAGAGATATGGCCAGAGTGTCACGAAGGCCACTTCGAAGAAACTACACACCTTCATCAACAGCCAGCTGTCTTCGCTCAATACAACTCAAGATGAGATGGCCGGCCAGAAGAGATAAGCAACACTGATCTCTGGCAATAAACAGACCAACCAGGAACCCATTGAGCATCAAATATGCAGGAAGAAATGGAGGTGGATTGGCCATACTCTGAGAAAACAAACTATCAAGTGGGAAGCATCACACTCCAGACCATCGCTGAAGTGGAACTTGAATTGAAAACGGCGATTTGGTCGTCACTGAAAGTGTTGATAAAATGAAGGAGGACATGCCAAGAGGAGATGAAAGCATGTGGGCAGACGTGAAGCCAGGTGGGAAACAATAATAGTAATGAAACGCAATATAATTTAGACTATTCACATTACTAATTACTTAATATATATGATGAACAGTATACAGAGAATAGTTAATCATAGAGAACACGAAAGTATTTATCAAAAACCACAAAGAGTTGATAATAAAAAAAAATAAAATGATCCACCTACACGATAGCCATTCTCGAATGCGTCCTCCCAAACAACTGGTGTGATAGGACTCCTCCCCTGTTGAACAGATTGAATAGATTTGATAAGTTCATCAAAATAATATGATTCGAGTTTTCCAAAGTCGTCACCGTAACCCTGCGTCCTCATGAATTCCAAAATCTCAGGATTTGATTGCCTGATTAAATGAAAACGGTTTCAAATATGTTAGAAAATATAAATCGCATAATGTTCTCAGCCAAATGGTAGTCAGATTTACGAGTAAATCAGTTGCCAATTGTAAATAAGTTTCCTAGAGGTAGATTTTCTCATAAGTGTTCCCTCAACTACATTTTGCTTGTCTTTCCATGAATTGCTTAATTACAGTGAGGTGAATGGAGTGGAGATAGCTTGTGAAAATACAACGAACAAATTTCGTACACACTGCCATCGATATATGAGTGATATAATTCAAATTGGTTGGCTGCTACGCTTAGATGTGTGTGTCGTCTATTTTAGACATCACAAAGGATAAAATCAAGCAGACTGGTAAAAATACCAGTGAAGATTGATACTGCACTAACAGGTATCATGTGGTGTCTGAAAGGCATTCTGCTAAACAACTTTGAAGGTTGAGAATATACTCACATTTCGCAATTCATATTAAGGCAATCAAGAGGTGAGATTTTCCAGTAATTCATAAGAATGAACATGAACTTTCAGTGTATTGAATTGCATCTAGCAATTTCATAAACATAAGCCTGACTAAGGACTATTAAGACATTGAGACTGAACACCACCAGGGGTTTTCGATCATTACCGAGCATCGGTGGATGCCATTTAGGTGGCAATTAGAGAAGACTGTATGGATTCACCGATTTCTGAGTTACTGATAAACTTTGATTGGACACTAGTAACTAGTGTGATGTGCCTAATCCTTTCTTTTCTGCATACTGAAATCTATCAGTCACGTTCGCAATGTGGTCACGATGCTAGGTGGCTCGCCATCAAGGTACACATTGATTTGATGATATTAGAAGCAATCGTCAGGAAGTGTAGGGCCACATAGGTTTCGTGATAGTTGGCACTCAACAACAAGGGGTATCTGCAACATCCAACGAACTCATATCCCTTTTGAGACTCGAACCCGAATCAACCAGTGCTACCTGCAGACAGGGACGTTACCACTGAGCTATTCGGGCCGACGATTGACATCCTGTGAGAATATATTGGATAATTTTCGATTCGACACTAGTCAGTAACTAGTGTTATGTGTGTTGTCTAGTCCTTCATTGGTGCAGACTGAATTTACAGTCAGTTTCGCAATGTGGCCACCATTCAAGATATGTCTCCTGGTCATTCACTGAACCATTGCACGACAGCACGGTGACACAGTGGTTAGCCCGCCGACCATGCACATGTCGGGTTCGATCCCGCGACGCACACCGATATCTAAATAAATATATTTGTACTGAAAATACGGTGTGGCATCAAGCTGTAATCAATAATAAAAAAATAAGACTGAATTCTGTCAGTCAAGTTTGAAATGTGGTCAGCATTCCAAGATGGATCTCCTGCTCATTCACTGAACCATTGCACGACAGTACGTATTTCAATACTCAAGAAAACCATCAATATCTGAATGGTTCCATGAACTTATGACATGATCAACATTCATTCATGAATAGACGATCAGAAAACTACTCACCAACATTCAAACGATACATCATCACCACCCAAATGAATAAATCTCTCTGGAAATCTTGAAGTGATTTCTTTGAAAAACGATGTCAGAAATTCCATTGTGGTCTTATTTGTAGGATCAAATGGACCAGTTCTTCCATTTGGTGAACCTTCAGTATAACACTTTGTTCGTAATCCAGGATGACCCTTCTCCCATGATCTTGTATGACCTGAAATCAATAAATACAGAGAATGAGTCGATTTTATCTCACATGCAAATTTTCTGTCTAACTGAGAATTATTGGCCAAGGCCAGAGGATGAGTCAAACATTTCTACTCAACACATGTAATTCCAAATGACATAAGTGGGAAATATTTAAAATGAAGTATCTTTAGAGATGAATGAATGAAAATTTGCCCCATTTAGAGATTAAAAACAAACAAGAGATCGCTAATAACATGGATCACTGAATATGAGGATAGAATTTCAAAGATGGTAGATGACACAACACAGAATGGCATGTTGTTCACTTACTCGGAGTATCGAATTCCACCATCACACGTATTCCACGTAAACGAGCATACTTCAATAACTGCTCAACAACCACTTCTCCATAGACAAACTTTATTGGATGATAAGCACCCTATGTAGAACGAATAATGATGAGGTGAAACGCAACAAAAGAAAATACCATTTGAGAGAGTTGAGGATCTGTGGATGATTCGTACGGGAATGAACTATCATCTGTGATGTGCCAATGAAATACATTCATTTTCACTAAGGCCATAGCATCCTGGTGGGTTGTGAAGTTAAATGAGAGAGAGAGACAATATGGAAGGCGGCAGACTTACGAGAAAATTCTCCAGCACATCAACACTGATGAAATGAGCAGCAGTGTTAACTACAAATCCTCTGTGAGTGAACTGGGGTGAATCTTCGATTGTAGATTCGTTTATTACTAACTAGATAAAATAGGTTGACAATACATGAATAATCATGAGGTCATTGACTCACATTCCCTAATGCATTTCTGTGCGCCAATTGTAAGACAGTCTGTAGTGCATGTAATGTTCCCCATACTTCAGTAGATTCAATTTCAATCTTGGTATTTGATATGCTGATTTTGTCTTCATTAGTGAGTTAGTTATGTGTGAAAGTTGTGAACCTACATGATTCTTTCATCTTCTCGCTTGGCCACAAATCACCATCTTGTTCATTGCATCCATCAGTGATGGAAATCGTCAGTTTGTCAATACTGCAGGGAGTCTGTTTTATATTCAGGTGTGGTGATGTTATATTCTTCAGACGTTTTCTGAACTCTTGCACTGCATCGTCCAGTATGAAACAAAATGAATATGTTTGTTCAATTGTTAAATCTTCTTTTAGGCGACAGGTATTTCCATCCTTCGTGTATTTAGTCGGTTTCGGGACTAATGAATTCACAGTGGAATAAGAAAATGTGAGTAATGTGAAGCTGAACAAATAGATAATTGACATGATGTTCAGTCTACGCTAGTATGGTGTGAAGATTGTTTCAAAGTGTATTTATTTATATATACGTCTTGTTATGTGTGTTTTCGTGTACATGTCTGCATGCGATCTAGTTGTAGGCGTTGTAAAACGCTCTCGTTATTCTTCTTCATGAAGGTGATATGAATTAGCCAATGAGAATATACTATGCAAAGTGAAACATTCTCAGACACATTTTTGTGAGACTTATCAATGAGCTCGATAACAGTACGAAATATCAGAATTAAAATTCGAGTTAATGAAAGAACATTGAGTTAATATATTATATAGAAATACAGACATCGATGTATAGAAATTAGTGGTTCCTTGAAAATATAGTTTTGGTTCGATGATTATTATTATTGTTTCTATTAATTCCTACAGGAACATAGGTCTTCAGTCAAACGTAACCATCGCGTTTGGTTCACTACCAACGTTTTCATCTGGTTCCACGTCTGCCTACATACTTTCACCTAATCATCACATCACCACCTCCATGTCACCACACCCTCGCTATGACGACGAACTCGTCACTTCACATTCAGGTATGTGATGTGCCTCACTTGATAGTTTGTTTTCTCGGACTATGGCCAATCTACCTTCATTTCTTCCTGCATAGTTCTTGCAGAATCTGTTCCTAGTGGCTTCGTTCATTGCCGGAGTTCGGTGTTGCTGATCTCTTCTGGCCAGCCATCTGATCTTGAGTAGTATTGAGCGAAGACATCTGGCTGTTGATGAAGGTGTGTAGTTTGTTCGAAGTCCCCTTCGTGACTCACTGGTCAAATCTGTGATCCGTATAGTATGTAGCACAGACTTCACATTAGAGTTTAAAATCCGCATTCAATTTTCATTTTCATGCTGAGTGAGGTCGATCTCCACACAAACTTGAGTGAAATGAGAGCTTGACTCGCTTTTCTGATCCTCGCTGCTTTGATATCCTCATCAGTTCTGTCCACCTGTAGTTGAAACGATGCTTCCCAGTAAGGTAGGCAGTTAGTTAGGTGAAGGAGGTTGCCTCTTTCAGATTTCTTTCATTTATCCTGATTGTTGTCTGTTGTTGTTGCTATTAATTAATGATTTAATTCACAGATCCGTTTCACTGCTGAGGTCGTGTTCACCGGTGGAAGTATTTGACCAGTAATTGAATAGTCTTCCAAAGACGATAAGATATTCCAGCCAATTTCAAAGAATTCAACACACATATTAGCAGAGCAAGCGGACAGTTGGAACCAGCGAGAAGACGAAGTGACGGACAACACGCCGTATTTCCATTCGTACGCCGAAGTTATTTATATTTTATAATGAAGTAGTTTTAAACAAACGTTATTTACAATGTCTCCATTTGTAACACCTGACAAAACCTGTGCAATCTTGTTGTTCAGGACTCCACATATTCATATCTCCGTTGAATGTGGTCCCACTGCTCCTCCTGGAACACTTCGATTGTAAGATGTGATAATTTTGTGAGATACTGGATTTATCTTGATGCATAAAACTAGCAAACATTTAGGCCCACTATATAAATAGTAAACAAAAACTGTAAGCGCTTTTGCTTCTACAATACTGATCAAGTGCACCCTATTTTGTTTCACACAGGTGACAATTCACCTGAAATCCTTTTTAAAGATACGACGTGCAATAACATCCTTATGTTCCTAGTGGAACATTAGGGATTCAAGCTTGAGTTCTGAAGTCCCGGTACCATCAGTTTCATTTTCGTGCAGTAGTCCTAGTCTCACGCCCAACCTTCTCCCTTTACCTGCTTTTCTACAGGCTAAGCCAGGTCTAGGAGTGCGTCAGCCGAGGATTAAACCGCGGACCATATGCGTGATTGACGAGCGTTCTACTGCCGGACAACAGATGCACATGAAACTGCATTAATTTTAAACATCTCCCTCGGCATAAGTAGGAAAGATGCACACTGTGTCAAACTGTGGCTTCAAGTGGTTAGTACGCCTGATACTGAGCATAGCAACACTTTGATGTTCAATGCATAACATGTCATCAATGAAATCAAAAGTAACTGAGATACTATGTGATCATTAATAGGAAATATTTCGAATCTCTGAAATCTTCCCAAAACCATCGTCATGATAGTGTAACTGCTGTTGACCTCAGAAGATGTGCTGATATTTTTCATGTCGTTCTCTTACAAACAATTTCAATGCTTCTACTTCCAATAATGTTGTAGCCATTGCATGGAAAGGCAATAAAATTATCCAAGTGTCTAAATCATTTTCTAGCATGAATGTTTAATTTAGGCCTATTGCGACTACCTCTTCTTTTCTAAAATTAGTGGGTAAACTAATTTTACTCAATTTGAACCTTCCTTGAAAAGTTGCAATGATCGCAAACAATTCGCTTAAAAAGGGGGAGATGTGCTTTAGACGCCGTTGCTATCTTACAACAAAATACTGTTTCCTCCCCAGATAAAAGGACCAAATATGTTAGATATACATTCTTTGATTACACTTCTACTTTTCACTTTATACCTGGATGTATTTTGTTAAATAATCTTCGCATGACAAAGACCCAGTCTCAGACTGTTAACAGGTTGCATTCTCATTCATTTGAACAGAAAGCTGTCTACTGTTTACAAAGGTAAATCCTTCTCTGCTTTTCTCACTGAAGTTGGAGTCACTCAGGATGCTGTTCTCTCATCTTTTCTTTTTCCTTTCTTCTTACATGACTTAAGTATTTCGAGAGAAATCAACTTCGTTACCTACGCTGATGATTTCACTGTTCTAAACTGAGTAGCCTTCTGTAGGATATCAGTCAGTGGTAGGAGTTAAATAGTCTTACCTTAGATCCCACTAAATTTCTGACAATAAAATTCACCTTTAGACATAAACGCGGTCAGCAAGAACTGGGTCGTTCACAAGATGCACGTAGCATAGAGAGCACTGAAACAAAAACTCAGTCAAGCATAAAATACCTTGGAGTAGTTCTATCTTCCAGCCTTGTTTGGTCATTCCATATCTTGTTGATGTTCAGTTTAACCAACTACATTGAGAAGTTGAGACAATCAGGTAGGTGTCACTGAATTCCTACTTTACAGTTGGTTAACTGTTCCATCTTCCCTATATCACTTTACTGCTCCACCTCAGTCTTTCCTGGGCTACTCAAAGAGGAGACCGGCATACTGCGAAGAGTATCAAAGGTTGTCAGTGTGGTAAGCAGTGTGCAACCAAGTCAGCTTGTTACTACTGTAGTCGACAGACACCTAAACTCATATGAGAAATGGTCTAAATCCACTTCGTCTGACTCTTAACACTCCCTCTATTCTCAACTAGCCCCCTCAGAAACGATTATGCACTATTGTACAAAAATGTTGAAAATTCCACACTGTATCATAGGTACTACTGTTTTTGAATCAAAGTAAATCATTATCATTAACTACTAAGTTAAAGAATTATGTTCATGAACAACAACAGGACTGAACTCACGAGATTATGACTAAGCATTACTGTAATACAGTATTGCATACCGAATGCATCACTACATCATAAGATTCTATCATTGTAACACTAGAAACATCCAATGGCATTCACGCCATTTTTTAATTTAATATTTTATTCAACTGAGACTCGTGAAATTTTTACCATATAATATATGAGAGATGTTCCAGATTATGATGTTTCACTGTCAGTTAGATTTGGCGTTGAAACACCTTCCAGACATTGGTGTTACTTACAATCAAATTATATCTATCATATTTGAAAGTTATTATGATGAATGCGCATTTTGATGGCAATATTTGAAAACCTAGGAGTACTGGACAGTCAGCTGTTTCGCCTTAGTTTGGGTCTCTTCAGCAGTAAGCAACCACCCCACTGACATTCGAACCCAGGACCTCCTGGTTACATGACCAGCTCGTAGACCACTTAGCCACTCGGACTCAATCCAATGGGCAGCCCATGAATTCTAGCTTCTGTCAACTCATGACATAGTGTTACCAGTTTGTAATGTCATCATCGATGAGTTCCTGCATCATCTTCAACCTGCTGTACCCTACTGGTCACGGCTTCCTGCTAGAACCCCAGGTAACTGTGTACTTCAGTGGCACAGCGGTTAGGACGCTCGCTAACCATGCACATGATCCACGGTTTGGTCCTCGGCCAATGCACACTTGATATCAATGATCGGCCTCCTAAATTTGGGCTACCAATATCACATGCTGAAAATTTCATGCTTGTACCAAAATACTGTGTGGAATCAAGCTATAAATGAAATACAAGTAAAAAATACTAGTGAATTATTTTTTATACTCCATGTGAT